GACACAGGTTGAAGGGTTCCCGTCAGACTCTTCCTGGGCACTCCGTGATGTGGGCTTCCAGGTATCAGAGAATCCCTGCTTTTCCTCTGTGCTCATGTTATCTCAGCTTTGCATGCCAGTTGGCATGATTTAATAGTTGAATTTGGGAGTCATAGAAGCCTTAAAAAGAGTTTTCATAATATGTTTACACATTTGCTTCTTTTACACCATTTCCATTCATAAGAGGTGTTCTTGGAAGTACCTTGCACCCAGACAGTAAGGGGAACCTGAAATTATTTTCCCAAGACATGTGCCCTGGTGATACGCTAGTCACACTGATTAACACTGGCCACTCTGTCTGTCTTCTCCTGTCTTTGTATAAGGTAGTAATTGTGCTTGTCAGCTACCCTCAGTACGTTGTTCTGAAGCAGTTTGTCAAAGGCCTCTCTGGAAGGCCTTTGATCAGTATTGACCAGCTCCCCATGGGGAGGTATAATTTTTTTCCTCTTAGTTCCTTGTTCAGTCGAATATTGGTATGTCTTTCCAGATATATCCTATCAAGTGACTAGCAGTTATCACACTCAGGCTCAAACAGAATTCGGGGCTTTTGACCTGCTGAACTTGGGAATTAAACTTGATGTATTTTCGTTCTACCGTTAGGGACCCTCAAGTGAATTGCACCTGTGATTGAATGTCTGGGCCATTCCTAACCAAGTATCAGTGTAGCCAGGAGATAGCAGTTGCAATCTACTGCATTCTTGTGATCAAGCTGATCTCTCTCTCTCTCTCTCTCTCTCTCTCTCTCTCTCCCTTGTCTGCCAACAGCTTAAAAATTTATATATAACCTTTCAGCATCTGTATTACAAACCCTAATGACCAAAATGAGAGAGGGAAGAAGGGTGCCTGCATAGAGGCAGGCTGGGGTGAGAAGTAGTTTGGGGGATGGGAGGGAAACTGGGGACATTAGTGCTGGGAAATTACACTGATAGAGGGATGGGTGTTGGAACACTGTATGACTGAAACCCAATCATGAACAGTTTTGTAATACTCTATTTCATGGTGAGTGAATAAAATAATTTTTTTAAAAAATTTTAAATTAAAAAAAAACCTCACTGTGTTCATGAAGCATGCATTCCACTTCAGATCCAGTTCACCTGCTCTCGTTGGGCCCTCTCTGGACAGTGTGATAGACCAGCTGAAAAGGGGAATGGTGTGGATTCTTAAACTCCAGCTTTGTCTCTCAATGGAATTCCAGTGGCCACTAGCGCACCTGTGAAAATGAGGACTCTGTCCCTTGGTGGTCCACAGGCAGAGCAAGTGCTCAGCAACTCATGTGACTGACAGCCAGCAGCTTGGTCAGGACAGTTGGAAGCCATTGCCACCCTCACAGGAAGTTCCTTTGTACAGCACTGTCTATGGAACTTGTGTGTCCCAGGACTGATGTTTGTAGCTGCAGTGATTCTAGGCTTCCTCCTCTCCCCACTCAGTCCTCTCTGGAATTTTCCTCCCTCAGACATTAGTGAAAGTGTTAATATTCTGGGACCTTAAAAACCAAGCACTCCTGCGAGGCCATGAATATCTGAATTTGAGTACAGAGTCAGAGGGAAATGATACTTAGCCCCATGGTCTGGAGGAGGGCGCAGCCGCAGACTCAACCATTCTAGAGAAACTGTCTGGCTACGGAGTCACTCCCCGAGCTCTGAGTAAGCTTGAGGCAAGTCAGGAAAAAAACACAAATCTGAGGCCAGAGGAATGGTTCAGTGGGCAAGTCTTGCCTTGCCCACAGAGAACTTGGGTTCAATCCTTGCATTGCCTATGGTCCTTAGGGCAATGTCAGGAGTGAGCTCTGAGCACCACTGGTGTGTCTCTCCGCCCCCCAACCCCCCCCCCCCAAAAAAAACAAATCCCAAACTCAAACACGAGTCTGTTTTATTTGTGCAAATAAGTGATTGAAGGCACATGCCATTTTCAACCTGCCAATTCATCTGGCTTCTTTAGAAAGTGTTAACTCAGTGACCCATTATCCAACCTGTGTGCTGAGAATGGAACATCCAGATTATTGAGGGCTAGAGGGCTAGAGGGCTAGAGTAGAGTGCTTGGCTGGATTTTTTTTTTTTTTTTGCAGGAAAACTGCTGAGCAAGGGCTTTTCCAGGCAGGGTTCTGACTGCTGTATCTCTCCTCCAAATGGCCCCCGCTGCATTGCTTCGTCCCTCGAGCATTCAGAAATAGAATTCTGTGAAAAACTCCCAAATATGTCATTGTCATTGATCTAGTCTTCTGGGGCCCTCAGAAACAGTTCGATGGTGTTAGGTCAGATACTCTGAGAGTCAAAAACTGCACCAGAAGGAATTCTCAGGTTCTTGCCCAATTCCACACAGTCGCCGCCTTAAGGAACTCATTGCCAGGGCACATTTTCTTCAGTTCATCTAATTTAAAAACAGGGATGCACATGCTTCATTTTCTTCAGCAATAAACACTTGAAAGTGCAAGTGTCTGGTGAGTAGAGCTCAAAGGGCCTGGCGGATATTCATTCATTTAACATTAACAACAAACTTAAAATAAGGTGCACGATCATTTTCACTTTAAATGAATATCATTATTAAATATCATAATTTAATATAATAATGAATATCATAAATATCATATCATTAAATGAATGATCATTATTCCATTATCATATTCAGGGAAACAGAGAGTCGTGAATGGATCCTTGCTGATCTGCCTGATACTAGATAATACTGTCCGTGGGTGCATAAGGAGTTTTATGAGAGGCTGGTGGCTGAGTTAGGTGTCTCTTGCTTTCCAGACTCTCCTATTTCCAACTGTGGGTGATGGGAGTGAAGGAGTCAGTACGAAGAAGGAAGAGAGGGCTTGAGATGGCCATGTGGGCATCAAGTAGAAGACAGAACTAAGAGAAGCATCTCTTAATTCATACTTAGGCAATTGTTTGCATAATTCTTTCTGTTTTACTAGAGGTTGACTCTCAAAGACTCTCAAAGACATCATGTGTTCAGTTCAGTAAATGTATCTTAAGCAATGGGTTCCTGGGAGGAGATGAAGATTGCTGGGTTAACTGAGGGTAGGGCAGGAGCCATAGCACAGTGGTAGGGCACTTGCACGCGACTGACCTGGCCGAGCTGGGTTTGATTCCACCGCCCCTCTCAGAGAACCCGGCCATCTACAGAGAGTATCTCGCCCGCCTGGCAAAGCCTGGCAAGCTACCCGTGATGTATTCGATATGCCAAATACAGTAACAACAAGTCTCACAATGGGGACTTTGACTTCTTATGCACCCACGAATGGTTACTGGGCCCGCTCAAGCAAATCAATGAGCAATGGGAGGACAGAGCTATACAGCGCTATAATGAGGTTAAATTTAAATTTCCAGTTCACTCACAATCCTGCCGAGAGTGTGAGGAAACATGTAGATGCCAAGAACATCCAGTGGGCTGACACGCAGGGAAGAGGCAAGGACAGGCTGGTCTGGGGAGATGTCACGGCAGGTTTTAGAGCTGAGCCTCAAAGCAGCCTTCAAAGGGGAAAGTTAGGAATGATACACCGTGAAACCCATTATCTGAATGATTTTGATGATTACTAAATTGACCTTAGCAATGGAATAATAAAAGTCATTGTGCATGATTACATTCATGTGTGTGTGCATATGCGTGACAGAGATAGAACAAGTGAGAGAGAGGGAGAGAGAGAGAAACAGAGAGAGAGAGAAAGAGAGAGGGAGAGAGAGAGAGGAGGGTGCATAAGGAGGGAGGAAAAGAAGAGAATTCAATGAGTCTTAAGTTTCAAATGACTCAGAGAGTACAGCTATTGAATTCAAGAATTCCAGCACATTATTGCATCTTATTTCATCCTATTTAACGACGATCACGGTCACGGCCATCCTGTTGTTCGTCGATTGCCTCGAGCAGGCCCCAGTACCGTCTCCTTCATCCTAGCCTGAGATTTTTTAAAAGTGCCATATTAAAGGCTCTTTCAGGGTTAGGAGAATGAGACCCATCATTGTTACTGGTATTTGGCATATTGGGTACACCACGGGGAGTCTGCCAGACTCTGCCGTGTGGGCAGGTTACATTTGGTAGCCTGCCATTTTGTCCAAAGTAATAATGAGATAATAAGATGTCGCGTGGCCGCAAATGTGTGCGTTTTTATAGTCTCTGGGTCTTGGCTGCTGATGGGATTACACGGCGCCAGGGGGCCAGTTGGTGGGTGTGACCCCTACCTACTGGAAGATGGAGGATCTGGGTGGAGGATGCTCAGCCCTGATCCGAGCAGTCTTGGAGATCTCAGCCCCGGGACCTGCAAGATCCTATTTAACAAAAAATAATTTTGTGGGGGCAAGGTTAATTTTAACTTTTACTTAAAAACTAATAAAAATACTATAAAGATCCACTCTTACTTACCAATGTGTTACTTGGGGTCTGGAAAATATTTTATACACTGAAGTGGAATGAAATCGGGAAATCTAAGTCAAAATTTCTGAATATATTTAGTTGGAAAACCTTAAATAAATATTTTTCTGAAGATAAACTGATTGAGTCCATCAATTCTTTTGACCGGGAAAAGAATATAATAAAATACTTGAATTATAGGGACTGATAACTAATCAAATTCACAGAAAAAGGGTTTTATCCCCTAGTTGGCTTCAGTGAGGTGTTTCTATTGCTGTTGCAGGCTATAGAATGGAAGATTTTTCTACTTCAAAAATGACCATACAGTTGAACAGTACATTTAGATGTCTCATACAGTCTTTGGCAAGGTGGTTTTTAAAGTCAAGCTTTTTTTTATAAAAAAAAAAAAAAGTAGAAGAAGAAGAAAAATCCATGTGCTAGTGGTCCAGAGGAGCATGTTCTTTTGTTTGGAGGAGGTGGGGTTTGGGACTCACTCAGGGACAGTCAGGGCTTCTCCTGGGCTCTGGGTCCAGGGGTCTTACATGGTGTCAGCAATTGAACCGGGGTTGGCTGCATGCAAGCCACGTTCTAACCTCTGCATCCAAATTTTCTTGCAGATGACATTTGATCCAGAAATCTTCTTCAATGTTTTACTACCACCAATTATATTTCACGCTGGATATAGCCTAAAGAAGGTACGTTCGCAGCAATTATTTACTTCTCTTATCTTTATGTGGAAAATTTTACCAGAGCTGATGAAAAATCTGTTATTTTAAGGAAACACATGTTTCATTGGAATATCTTGTTTTTGATTCCATGATACAGATTCAGCTCTGACATTCTCAAAACTCCTCTCGATCTGTCTGTCTAATACACAGGACATCGGCTGCCCTTGGTGACAGAACCCTTGAGATTAGGCTAGCCTGAATCAAGATGCACTTCAAGTCTAAAATGTGCACTGGATTTTAAAACCTTAAGCATTTGAAAGAAGAACATGTCCATATTTGTTTTTAAAAAAGATTTTCCATGAAGTGATCATGTTTGAGATATATTTGGTGAAATAAAACATCAAAATTCATTGGACTCACTTGAAATCTGACTTCAGGATAGCAACTGAAGAATAGTAAGCACCGCCCGTGGTTTGCCTCTTTACTTCTCACAAATCACAAATCACAAATCATCCTATTATTCGTCGATTGCCTCGAGCAGGCCCCAGTAACGTCTCCTTCATCCTAGCCCTGAGATTATATTCAAGGCTCTTTAGGAGAATGAGACCCATCATTGTTACTGGTATTTGGCATATTGGGTACACCACGGGGAGTTTGCCAGACTCTGCCGTGTGGGCAGGCTACATACGGTAGCCTGCCAGTTTGTCCAAAGTAGGAATGAGATAATAAGATGTCATAATAAGATGTCGTGTGGCCGCAGTTCCAGGAGCTGGTTTTTATAGTCTCTGAGTCTTGGCCGTGGATTACACGGCGCCAGGGGGCCAGTTGGTGGGTGTGACCTCTGCCTACTGGAATTTGGAGGATCTGGGTGGAGGATGCTCAGCCCCAATCCGAGTAGGTTTGGAGATCTCGACCCTGAAACCCGCATGGATTTGTCCCTCTGCCAGTACCTTCATGTGTGCGGAGAGTGGTCTCAGAATGGTGGTAGCTGGTCCTGGAGGTCTTCGGCTGCCGGAGCCCTGGTCGGGGCGGGTAGGAAAGCTCAACCCACTCCCCTCCAAGGGGCCCTGGCGAGGACAGCCAGGCGCGGGGGCAGGAGACTGCACTGTTCTCTTCTGGGAGCTGGTTTTTATAGTCTCTGAGTCTTGGCCGTTGATGGGATTACACTGTGACAGGGGGCCAGTTGGTGGGTGTGACCCCGCCTACTGGAATTTGGAGGATCTGGGTGGAGGATGCTCGGGCCCAATCCGAGTAGGCTTGGAGATCTCGGCCCCGAAACCCACGTGGCTTTGTCCCTCTGTCAGTACCTTCATGTGTCTCTTTACTTCTATTGGGCAGATTTCCCTCGAGGATGGTCAGCATGGCCAGAGCTAGTCCACAGGGGTAAATTCAACAGGGTGCCCCTGTTCCGAGGCAGAAGGGCTGGTTCTGCAGGCCACTGGACTGACCAGCTTATTAGATGATCAGTTATTGCACCACTTCCGCCGGGCTCCCTCCCTCTGACCAGAGGGTTCTGTTTGATGGGCCCTTAGTTGTCTGAGTTTGGGACCACAGCCTTGGCTTTGAGAGGATGCGACTCTGTGCTCCCCTCTGCCCCAGAGAACTGCTCTCTCCTCCTGGAGAACTGCTCTCTCCTCCTGCAGTCATCCTGCTCCAGCACCCGGAGAATCACTCAGAGCATCCGTGGATTCTGTGTGCTCTAGGCTCCCTCTGGCTGCGGCTGTTGGCTCCTCAGCTCTGTCTGACAAAATTGAAGGGGAGTGTTTGCTGAGATTCAGACCAGACGGCCCTCTTCAGCCTCGCCCCAAGACTGGGCCTTGTGAAGCGTCATTGATGTGACTTTTCAGGTTTGGTTGCAGCACAGTCAGAAGAAATATGAGTCAGAGATTCATAGAAGTTGGGTTCACTAAGAGTCAGATTCAGTAAGAGTCAGATTCAGTAAGAATTAGATTCAGCAAGAGTCGGATTCAGAGAGTCAGGTTCTGAAATGTATTTGGAGGAGGGAGATGCCCAAACAGTAAATGAGGAACCGCGGACCATCCTGGAGATGCTCAGAGAACCAGGTCTTTGCTTGGGCTTCAGAAATGCCCTGGTGCTCAGGCCCGGGTACTGGAGGACCACCTGGGTCGTGTGTAGGGAACACCAAGAATGTACTGGGCTATACTGAGGGCTTGGACTCAACTCTTGCCTGGAAAGAAGGCACCTCTGACCTCTGAACTGTCACCACAGCCTCCGGATGGTGGTTTATAAAGTGGTGGGTTGGGGAGGGGGGATTCCATGGCCATGTGACAAGAAAACAGGTCTCTGCTTTGTGATCCCCAAAACCTGGTGGGTGGTTCCTTCACTCTCTGGGTTACTCACCCCCAGATCTGTTATACTAGACAGACTTTGCTTATTCCATGGAGAAGTCTCTGTCTCCAGTAGGATAAACGAACCGATGTCTCCATTTGCCAGTAAGGCCAAGTCTGAGCCCCCCCCCCCCCTTCCCCCAAGTTTTCTTCAACACTGAGGGAAAGGAGAGACCGGGAAAAGGCAGAGATCACGTTTTCTTGTTTCACTCATGACGGGAAAATGCAGATGCATCATGTGAATGGACTTTTTTTTCCCCCAGAGACACTTCTTTCAGAACTTAGGATCTATTCTGACCTACGCCTTCCTGGGTACCGCCATCTCCTGCATCATCATCGGGTGAGTGAGGTCGGGGCTGGAGGGCGTGCCGTGGGGAGGGTCGGCCTCCAGCTGGCAGCTGGGGGGGGGATGGCTCACACCGGCTGCACAAACACACTCTCTGTGCATCGCATCACAGTCACCTGCACAGCTGCACCTGAGCACGCTCACACCGGTTGCACAAGTACAAGCTCCTGCATCACCCCCACCTGCACAGCCACACCTGGGGGGTTCACATCGGCTGCACCAACACACACTCTGGCATCGCCTCACATTCACCTGCACAGCTGCACCTGGGCGGCTCACACCGGTTGCACACACACATACCCACCTGCACAGTCGCACACTCTGCACATCTCACCGGCATGCACGAAAACCTAAGCGCGCGCTCACATCAGCCTGCACAAACACACGCTTCGCATATCTGACCCGTGGCAGGCAGCCACACATGTGCACACACACCGTTGGGTGCAGGTGTCTGCTTTCTTTGAATGTGCGATTAGAAGAATATGAAACACTGCCAGTGACCTGCCTCCTGCTTCTCTTGGGAGGTGTGACACCAGAGACGGTCCGCACAGTGGGTGGGTGTGGGGGGCATGGGGCAGAAACACGTGCTGGGCCGCCCCTCACCTTGTGTCCCTGCTCAGGGCCAGCACTGCAGCACACCTGACCTTTGGGCGTTTTGGGTAGAAAATGAAGAGCCCAAGGCGCGCATCCCCGTGACCAGTTCCAGGTTGAAGGGCCACCTCATACGTGAAAGGTTTCAAATCCAATCGAAATTACTTTTGGTGTGTGTGTGGGGTCGGGGGAGGGTTCCTGTCTGTGTGTTTGGGGTTGATGGCTTTGGGAATGTGGGTGCCTTGGCTGGAGTTCTGCGAATCACAATGCAATCTTAAAAAATTGTCCTCCCATTGTTCATCAATTTTATGGAGTGGGCCCAGTAATGTCTCCATTGTGAAACTTGTTGTTACTGTGTTTGGCATATTGAATACATCATGGGTAGCTTGCCAGGCTTTGCGGGCGAGATACTCTCGGTAGCTTGCCAGGCTCTCCGAGAAGGGTGGAGGAATTGAACCCGGCTCAGCCATGGCTGGCTGCGCACAAGGCAAACGCCCTACCGCTGTGCTATCGCTCCAGCCACCAAAAATTATACATATATATTTGAATAATGCAGAGAAACGTGCCCCGTTCTTGTCCCTTCTTCCTGTTCTTCCTGTATGGCTCTACCGGGGTCTAACAGTAGCACTATAATAACTGTATCTCAAGGTTGGCTTGTTATTGTGTTTTTTTTTTAAGGGAAGTTTTCAGGAGAGTAGTCTGAAATACACATCTCCAGACCTCACTTAATGCTGGGATGCCTCTTTACTCCTACACTGTTGAAAGCATACTTGCTTTCTTCTCACTGGTTTGATTAGTTATACTGCTAAGCCCCATGTCTAACCATATAAACCCTGGCTTACAGAGTTCCATCATACGGCGGAAGGTGGTACAAATGGCAAAGCCTGTCCAACTCACTTAAAATCCTACCCAAGGTATCGAATTTACTGCATTGCAGAAAACCTGAGCGATTGTGCAACTGTGCTGGTGTGGCTGTTCCCGGACAGCTGAGGCAGCCACCCAGCTCCCCCTGTGAGTTTCACTGTCACAGCTGTTGCAGCCCACACAGGGAACTATCTAGAGGCACACACCCTACTTACCCAGCCAGCACTTCCTTATGTTTTTAGCATGTGCTGCTGCCAGGCTAACAAATACTGAGCCTTGGACCTAGAAGCAAGGGAGGTTTATGTTGAATTCTCTGTTAACTTTTTATTGACTTCAGCCCTGAGTAACTAGGGCTGTGTTAACTGAGAATGCAGTGAATTAGGCAGCGCAGAGAGAGACTGGAGATGGTGAATTCTGGAAGAAGAGCCCACAGCCATTCTCACTGGAAGTCCTCAGGGATGGATTTCTAAGAGTTCTTTCAACTGCTTGTGACACCAGCAAAGAGACACAATGGACTCTGTCCTTCTCAAATCCAGAAGTCTGATTTGCTTGGTGGGGATGCTACAGCCAAATACTCCCTATTTAACGTCGGCTCAGGGGCTGGGGGATCTGCGTGTCATCGAAACCCCTCATTCTGAAGCGGAGGGAAAGTGACATCTTGAAAATGTAGTTCATTGGTTCTATCTCACACATACAGGCCATGATCAGGATGTCTCAGAATGTCACTTCCTGCTTTAGAGGGCTTAAAATTCTCCTCTGTCCTCAGTTTCTCTTAGTTTCCTGTACATTGTTCCTGAGCATCCAGGCAGGGCTCTGAGCTGTGTGGGCTTTCAACAAACACCTGGCAGCTTATAGAAAAGATAGAGTTTTAGAAGTTTTGTGTTTTCTAATTTGTAGTATGTCCAAACTCTAAATTTGTGAAAAATGTTGAATAGTTTTCACTATTATTCAGTTTCCTTTATAAAACGTATAACCAGTATAACCCAGCATACTGGGTTATACATTTATATGCATATTTTCACTAATATAAATCATTTATGAATCTACTTTAAAAAGTACAGTGATATAGAATACTCATGTTATCTATAATTGACTTATTTTATTTTTAATAGACTTATTTTTATAGAATTTTAGTTCTAGCAATTCCATGCTGCTCTTATTGGAGTTGAGAGCCTATTTTTAAAAATTGGTTTTAAGGCTACAGTCCATGATTTATCATGGGAAGTACTTTGAATAAAAAGTGCAATGCTGCTATAACTTTCAGGGCCACTTTCATGGTTTGAACTGAGCGTAATCTGGCAACAAAACTTGCAAGGTACTTTCATAACATGGGTCAGAAAGGAGAGTCCACTTAAGGATTTTAGGATCTTCTCTAACGGGGTAAGGGAAATAACTGAAGAGTGTTTTGAGGGTCCTTCCCACTCATCCGCATCACCACCTCTTAGCTGAGTTCTGTCACTAGAGCTGGCCATTTATTATTGCTTCTATTTATTTATGTCCTACATATGAGAGAAATCATTTTATGTTTGTTCCTGTGCATCTGACTGATGCCACTCAATACAATAGCTTCCACATCTAGTCACATAGTGGCAAACTGCATGAATCCATCTTTCTTAGAGGGGAGGAATTGTGTGTGTATAGCACAGCTGATTTGCTCATATTTGCGGGCACTTGAGTTGTTTATATCTCCTGGCTATTCTAAATAGTGCTGCAATGAACTTGAGATATTGTAATTTGAGAATCCTGTTCAAAAGGAATTTATTTATTTTCTAAATTATTTTTGTTGTTATTTATTTATTTTATTTTTATTAGTGAAACACCATGAGGTACAGTTATAGACTTACAAATTTTTGTGCTTGGGTTTCAGTTATACAATGATCAAATACCCATCCCTCCACCAGCGCCCATCCTCCACCACCACTGGTCCCAGCATCCCTCCCATCCCCTGTCCCGCCATCCCACCCTGCCTCTTTCCCTTTTGTTCTCTCTTATTGGGTGCCGTGGTTTGCAAAAGAGGCAATGGGTGACAGTCATGTTTGGTCTATAGTCTACTTTCAGCATGCTTCTCCCATCCTGGAAGGATCCTCCCAACACCCTTTATTTGGTGCTCCCTTCTCTATTTGAGCTTCCTTTCCCCCTAGCATGTGTGGCTGGCCTCCGAGTCATGGAGCAAAATTCCTGGTAGTAGTCTCGGCCAGTCCTGGGTGTTAGTCTCCCATTTTGTTACTTTATGTTCCCCAGATGAATGCACTTTCTATGTCTATCCCGCTCTTTCTGACTCATTTTGCTTAGCATGATACTTTCCATGTAGTACCACTTGTATTTAAATTTTATGACTTCATCTTTTCTGACAGCTACATAGTACTCCATTGCATAGATGTACCAAAATTTCTTTAACCAGCCATCTGTTCTCGGCCACTTAGGTTTTTTCCAGATTCTGGCTACCATAAAGAGTGCTGCATTGAACAAACAAGTGCAGATGTCACTTCGACTATACTTTTTTGCCTCTCTGGGATATATTACCAGGAGTGGTATTGCTGGGTCAAATGGGAGCTCAAATTCTAATTTTTTGAGAATCGTCCTTACTGTTTAGGGGAAGAAGGACTGCCTGGGTTTATGCAGAGGAGAGTCTCATACTTGGAAGAAATAGACTTGAGGAAGGAGTGGGACTGTCACTTAGATTGGTCTCTGAGATTAAGTCAGAGAAGCAGTGGATTCTGGGAGGTTGTTGATAATAGAGAGGTGAGGGGTAGGGATTGTCTGAGGAGGCTTTGGGGACCACCATGCTGAGCTCTGGGTTGAAGAGGTTTCATGGAGCTGTGTAGGAGAATGCAGAAATGGAAATGCTGGGTGGAGAGGTTTTAGGGCAGACAGTCCTGACCCATGATCAGAAAAGCCTGATGGAGTGATTGCAGGAGGGAAGGGCTCAGCTGCCAACTTGATGTTTTATAGCTAAAGCTCTGTTTAATGTAAGGGCAGTTTGACTTTGGAATCAGCACCGTAGCACTGTCCTCCCATTGTTCATCGATTTGCTTGAGCGGGCACCAGTAACATCTCCATTGTGAGCCTTGTTGTTACTGTTTTTGGTATATTGAATACACCCCGGGGAGCGGCAAGCTCTGCCATGCGAGCGGAATACTCTCGGTAGCTTGCTGGGCTCTCCGAGAGGGGCTGAGGAATCAAACCCAGGTCAGCCATGTGCAAGGCCTTACCCGCTGTGCTATTGTTCCAGCCCAGGCTTTGGAATTGTATTTGGGAATTAGGATCACTGGGTACACTTGAATGAAAGAATTCTTTATTCAATTGTATTAAGTTCACACCTCCTTTGGTTGCCTTCTCCCTCATTTTATCACTTTAGAAATATTACCTTCAGTGAATTTCTTTCAAATAAAGCCCATGTTTTTGAAATATCTCTCAATTTATGCCTCCTAGTTTTGGACACCCCTTTATCTTTGACCCTGTAACTCACCCCTCTGTGCTGTGTCATCTTGTCTGCTGACCTGCTAACCTCTAGGTCCCAGAATACATAGATAGTCCTA